GTTCTGCTGTAACGAATGATTGACATTTAACGTGGTGCGTCTGTTAGCGCTGTTCATTTGCTCACTTACTTATCGCTAGTTCCGTCAAGATCTTGCCCTTTCCGTCATATGGTGAGAATTCAAGTGACGCACTCAATAGAACAACAAAAAGTAGAAAGGAGCTCGCATATTATTCACAATATTTATAGCATCATTCCAACTCTCGGAAGTTGCAATATTTTTATTTAAAAGCGGACATGATATTGTACTTAGTTTAATGAAGCAAAAACATACTTTTTCGGATTTTGCCGTGGAGACATTGCTGAATTTCGCGCCGTATCCTGGTCATCTCAGGATGAATACCAGCATCCACCACTGTCCTGGTATCAAAGTCGCGTGTTGGCAAATCTCCCTCTGATCCACAAGGGCTGCAACTGCCTGTCGTGGTTACGACCTGGGGCAGACTTTGGCCATACAATGACTTAACCAGCAAATTTCCGATAAATAGTGATCATGCTGGGGGTCGCATGACTAGTGAAGACGAGCCGTTCAAGTATCAAGTAAGTATCAAATCTTGGTCATCGTGGATGTTGAATTCATTTGCTCAGGTTGTACATTTAAATATATTACGTTCTCCGGTGATTAATCTCGGATTTGAACCCAAATTTTCAAACTAGTATATCTCAGCTGAAAAGAAACTTTATTAAACGAAATTTAAACTGCTACGGTCTATACGTTTTTGCCAACGAGATAGAAGTTTACTTGCATAACTGATTCCATAAAACTCCCGACATTTGCAGCTAAAGAAATCGCTGAATCCATTCGGCGTCGGCTTAGTTTCTAAAGCATTTCTCGCAAAGGAAGTCATCGCAATGCTTGAAGAAGTGGTATTTATAGGTGAGAGGTCCGGCGAGTATGGTGGGCTAAGCAGAGTTTCGTGGCTACGTTCGTTCAACTCCAATGGCATCGATAATATGACGTCTCGCCTCGTGTTATCGTGGAGAAGAATTGTTCCCTTCCTGTTGACCAATGTGAGGTACAGCCGTTCGATGTAATCGTTTCATCCGGATTCAGGAAGCTGTGAAGGATTTAACCAGCGGCAGACCACCAAACGATCAACATGGCCTTCTTTTGGAGTAACTTTGCCTTTGGGAAGCTCTGCGGGGCTTCATCGCGGTCCAACCACTAAGTCGATTGTCGCGAGTTGTCGTAGAGGACCCACTTCTCGTCAAACATCGTAATACGGCAGAGAAACGGTTTCTTCTGCTATTTATTTTTCGAGCCTTTTCGACTTTTCAGTCTTCTCTAGATGTTTCGAAACACTTATGACGCAAACACTGAATTTTTCTAAATACAAGTTCTCAAGCAGTTGCGCCCGTATTTCCTGTCATCAAAGCCTTATCGTAGTCGTCGCTCGTCACCTCTCTCACCTTCGAGGCCGAATTCGCCACAACGAAATTTTCAGAACAACGCTGCAATTTGCTAGCTAGCTGAGAGACAAGACCAAACAAAGGACCCGCATGGTGTGGTAGTGAACGCGTTAACCCCGGAAAGGGTAGAAGCGCGTTCGTTCCCCACCGCAGGCACTTGCGGTCCGGTGTTTTGCAAATATCACAGCATCATTGTGGCTGCAATTTGCGTTGAAAAACACTTCCTTAGCTCTATATCCTACGAATGTTTTCAGCCATTTTGCTGCACCACGCACGTCTGAGCTTGAATTCGTAGAATAGATTTGTCGAAACTGCTTCTTCGACATCTGAAATTCCAACCTTCAAAATTTCTCTAAAATAGAATTTATATTGCACTTTAACTATAAGCGACACAACTTTGCAAAAACATGTAACAGTACGGTGTTCAAGAGAAAAACTATTACTAGAGCTTATTAGAACACAATTGCTGACGTTTCGGCGGCTTCGCCTTCCTCAGAGCCTGGAAAGGTCAAATTGAGATGCGATCTACTCAGCCAAACACTTTCATAACCCTAGCAGATAAGACTTGACAAATCGATTTGCATTCGCATAAGAAACAGCTTCATTCAAACACCTACCGTTTATTTGTTGCAAGTATTTCAGTTAGTTGGTGGATAGCAGCCGCACAGAGTAATACATGGTCGATAACGGTGTCCATGTCAGGTCATTGGATCAGCCTGAGGTATGGCGCCAGATCACGCGTGATGACAAGACGCTCCTCCTTGCGGTTCATTTTTGATTTTTTGATCCAAAACGCTTCAAGAGTTTTACGCGCTGATGTTTTTGATTCCTGCGTAAGGATAGTGACTCCTACCTCAAAATCTTCTCCGTTGTGTTCTTACATCCTATCCGCGCCTAGTGGAGTACTTTGTTTTAATTTAGATTTACCGGCTAAGTGTTCTTTTATGCGGACGCAGAGCGGTCTACCCGTTTCGCCGACATATTCGTCCCCGCACGCTTTACAAGAGATCAGATAGACTGTACCCGAACTCATGCAATCACCGTCTCTGCCATTTGGGCAAATAATGCAGTTTTTTGTTGTACATAGACGGTCGTACAGGCGGTTGCGAACTAGCTGGCGTCTTAGTGTCCGGTGGTATTTCTATCACTCTATCAAAATCTTTAAGCTTTGTTACTGTCCCTTGCACCTTGACATTGCACTCAATTACTTGAACGGTCTGTCTCTAAGAATAATGCATAATCATGCAGGCTTCAGGATTTCTATTTGACTAGCAAGTTGGTGGGTGGACAAGGGGATTTCACCTGGAGAGCTATACTAGAATTTTCCCAGGTCTTCACCACTTATCAGGTAGTGGTTGTTTTTTCACTATCATTGCACTGTCTCATGACAGTTGTCTATTCCGAAGAAAATGAGATGTAAATGGGATTTCAAATGGTAACGTCAAGCCACTTGCTAGCTATGTGGCCTTGTTGTGTAGCTTGACTCACGCTTCTATGTTTCGACAACTGAGAAAAACACGTCTAAGAATGATGAGGCGGCAAACCACCGAGGGGCAGCAGCAAACTTCTACATTAAGCTTCTATTTCGAAATATCTGTATGTAGACAAGTCGAAAATTACTTATATGCTCTCTGATAAGCTACATTATTACACCTGACCCACAGACGCGCAATAGAACAGGGTCATGCAGGAAACACTGATCACCCTGGTAACGTTGGTCTTCAAAGATGTTCTGCATCTCAAGCGAACAACTCGAGTGCTATCATCACCCCTTTACCGTACGTTTCTATAAATGGTAACAATAGTACAGCACAACTCATCCCAACGGTTTACAGCCTCATTGTGGCTGGGCGGTGTTCCAGGGTGTCGGGCTGCGATGTACAGCGGGGAATTCGTCCTCACAAGTCCGGCGCTTCCATCAGGAATCCCAGCTAAGAGTAAACCAATACCAAGACCCACATCCGTTCTAATATCAAACTGGTCAAGATGAGGAGTTCGATGTTTCCATTAGGAAGACCAGCTAAGCTAAACTAACACTAAGATGTACTACCGCCCTGGTATCAAAACAGTTGCATGGTGGCAGATCTTCCTCTGACAAAAAGGCGGCGACTGCTTGTGGTGGTGACGACCTGGGGCAGACTTTAGCGTGGCTAACCTCGGGAGTCCAGGGAAGCACAATAGCTCCACTAGCAAAACTCCGAAAAAAATTGAAATTATGTTGGAGCCCGGAAAACCAGTGAAGGCGGCTATCCAAATATCCAAGTAATACAGCGGAACCAGATGGAAAATTTGTAGCGTTATAGTAAAAAAAAGTGATATTTTAAAAGTTTATACAGTAATGTAAAATATCGTACTTTTTGAGTATTTTGTAAAGAATGAGCACAAGGTTCAGTATGGTTAGAAAGTCTTAAATAGGACGAGATTACAACAATCAAGCAGAGAACAAGGTCAGAGAAGTCTAGGCACTAAGCCAAAGATCCTGGGCTTATCAGGCGGTCAGGACTTGTAAGCGAATGAAGACGATGTTCAGTTCTGCGTAGCTCCGTACCCCAAAGTTTCATGTTGCCTATAAAACTTTTCGATGCCATAGTCTGAGCTCTAACAAAGCCTTACATAAACCTACGCGAACCTGTTTGTGGCTAACGTTTCGCCGGTATCGCCTTCTTCAGAACTACGATGACTTAAGCCAAGTGTCCAGCGCAGCTACTTTTCTGTCGTCGTCGTATCGAATTGATTCTAGCGGAGTAGAGCACCAAGTGAGTAACTGCATCTTCGACTACAGCTTATAGTGTTGCCCTAGATGATCCACTTCAAGCTTGCTGTGCTGATAGATCTCTCGGAAGCACAGACGGTACAACGGTTGTTTTTGTCCAGGATCGTGTTCCGATGTGGGTGAGATTGCATTCACATCTTAATCGGCACTATCCAAAAAAAACGCCTTATCTTTTTGTAATCGACGAAAGTCAGGAAGACGCATAGATGTCGATTTCAACCAACGTCTAGGATCCTATGGATTCTACTGTCGAACGTCAGCAGTTCCCAAAGTGGTAGAACAGTGTATTATGAGTGAAATACTTGTATGTAGAAGATGACGGTCGTCCCAGTGCCAGAAACTGGCCAAAATACCGCTTGGTGCTTCACTTGTGCCAATTCTCACTTCGTCCTTTTCAAGGCAGTCGTAGGTTCGTGGGATAGCAAACGTTGTCTGCAGTACACTTTTTACAACCTTGACTTTTATTCGCTGACGTCTGAATATTCAATACCTGTGCTTTTGTTTCCTTACATGAGTTGATCTACTAGTTGATTACAAGATATTACATTTATCAGTCTTGTTTGAGTTGTCATCGATTTTTCGGCAATCGCATCCTGTTTTTTGTCCTGTTTCTATTTCGAGCTGGGTTATTTTTGGCCCAACTATATACTTCCTTCTGTTTGTGTAGGTCATTATGTTATTTTGGCTATTTGGTTACCCATTTACTATTGCTTTATAATCCTAGTCGATCAGCTAGGAGAATGCACACGTTAAGGCATGACGGAGTGTATTGATCGAAAGTTTGATGATGTTTAAGGTAAAATCCTGAATATCTCAGGATGCAATGTGACGACATTACCTGGAATATACTTAGAAAAGGACAGTGCGCTTTCAAAGCTTGGTACGCTTTTCTTCGAATGACCTGATTCCTTCCAAAGCTTTTCTGTTTTTTTTTTCTTTTACACTGACGGAGTGTTTACTTACTTGAACGTGCTTCTTCGTTCGTTACAAGAGGAATATTTCAGGACTAAACCGACATTATTCTGTCGAAATGAAATGAACCTCACGGGTTTGTGTAATCGTGCCTCTTGTCCGCTTGCCAATTCTCAGTACGCCACTGTCCGAGAGGAAAATGGTAAGTCCCACGACCGACTTTCTATTAACCTCGGCATTGATCAAACAATGCTTTGTGTTCCTGTTGAGCAAACATGAGATATTAATTTGTTCCTTTATTTACGAACGAGCTCACGTTTCGGCGGATTTCGCCTTCCTTAGAGCCTAGAAAGCTCAAGTTGACCGCAATTTACTCAGTGAAACAGCTCCATAACCAAATAGAGGAAATATTAACAGCACTTTAGATTAGCACTTTCTCTGTTTTGTTATGGAGGTGTTTGGCTGAGTTGATTGCGGTCAACTTGACCTTTCCGGACTCTGAGGAAGGCGAAATCAGCCGAAACTTCAGCTTGCTCGTAAATAAAGGAATGAAAGAACATCTCATGTTTGGTCAACAGGAATATAAAAGTGGTAAGTTTTCAAATCGTTTTGTAAGACTGATGCTCGATGGAACTTGTAATGAGTAAATCGTCTTCAACACCTAAACTGAAGCATTGCTAGCGGAGAGATCTGCCTACCTTTTCCTTCTTCTGTAATGGGCAGATTTGAGAACCACTTCGCTCTGTTATTAAGGTATCTGCTACTTATATTGCAAGGTTATTGAAAGAAGTCATTATCCGAGAAGACTATGGGAGAAGACGAAACTTTCTAAGGATATGAATAAGGTGTTTTCCTTCTCTTTAATGACTCTTTGAAGAAAAAAGCGGCATGCGCAAGTTTTCTAAGCCGCTGTTCATCTTCTCGCTTTTCTTTTTTCCAAGTGTTAGGATTGTTTTCTTTGCAGGCTTTGGAACAAATCAGTGATGCTCTTCTTCATTGGAGCGAATATGTTCGCCATAAATGTAAAGCACGTCTCATTCGCATTCATCAGTACCTAATACGCATGAGAAGAATGGCATTGAAGGGGACGTATGTTGTTCAGCAGTATTATTGTACAGAACTTGTCATTATGGGCGCGTGTAGCGGAGGCCATCCAGCAATACACATGGGATCAATCCCTGTGCCCTAGGCTCACCAAACCCTCCTTCCATCTGGGGTCGGCAGTTTCGTACCAGACTTGTCTAGAAGGATAGCAAAACTGGCTCGATACATCGGTAGGCTACCGCGAGTTATTATAAAGGCCAGATATGCATGCGGTCACCTTCAACGATGCTTGATGAAATCGAATGAATGGCGCATCCCTCTGGGATTGATCCACACCGATTTTTATTCTTTATCATTTCACTTGTTACTATGTCCTAGACTTCCCAGAATTCAGTTTTCTTTATTCATTGCAAGGTTGAGGAACACACTATTCAATATTCGAATGAAGGTGTTCACAAATTGAACGTGACTCAGCAATGTTTCCGTTTACCCGTATTTTATTGCTTGAGTTAGGTTTTGCTACCTTCAGTCCCCAAAGTAGCTGTATAGTAGCGTCCCCCGGACGTGGTCATAAGAAGTTTTTTGGAAGTTATGAGTCGAAGGGGGACTTGCCACTCTACTAATATGTTTACTCCAACGTGATTCCTAACATAAGTTTTTTTCTAGTTGGAATACTAATACCGAAGTCCTTGTTAGATTTTTTGTCTTGGCTAGGGAATGGAAATCGGCCGTACATTGCAGACCAGTGCTCTGAAAATCCTCTTGTCAGAGTGTTGTGACAGACTTTAGTATAGTACTAGCCAATAACGTACGGATCTCTAAAGAATGGTATTTTTCAAGCGACGTAGGCCTTTATGACCATATATTGGAGGAAAATTTGGTCTACCTCGTCCTCAAAGTAGTTGTCCAGAACACTACACACGATTTTTGAGTCGCTTCTAAACTATAATGCATTTATAAGAAGCAACTTTAAGACAAAAGAAAATCATCCCGGTAGCTCGCAAAGTTGAACGGCGTGAGAAACGTCGCGAAGAGAAGGCACTAGTTGCTGCGAAGTTGGACAAGGCTATCGAGAAAGAATTGTTATCGCGATTGAGGTATGGTTCTGTTTCTCTGATATGATTACTTTCACGTCATTCTTCGGACAGACAGGGAACATATGGCGATATCTACAATTTCCGACAAAAAGCATTCCAAGATATGTTGGACGAGAATGAGAGGGTTCTTGAAGGAGACGAAGAAATTGAAGTGGAAAATGATGAGGTAGTTTTCTCCTTATTAACACTTCTCAAACCATGATGCATATTGGGGTATACCACGAATTTCTTCAAGGACGTGGGTCAAGTGCATTACGTGGCTGATTTTGAGTCATCAGATGAGGAAGATGACCAGGATATAGAAGATACGCCTGGTGGTTGGTCCCCGCCGGAAACAGACAGTGACGATGACGATTGGCAGCGACCGCAAGAGGTAATAAATGAAATCAAACTCGTTGAATTGTCTTTTGTCTTCCGCGAAGTTTCTAGTACATAATGCTTTAGAGTGGTAACGATGATGATGAAGATGAAGAAGAAGTTGAGGAAGACCAGGAGTTTGTGGGACCACCGAAGAAGAAACTCAAGGAAATGACCAGTAATACGAAGAAAAAGAAGAAATTGCCAAAGGTTTGTTAGTTATACTCTCGAACAGGAATACATCGTTGATGTGCTGGTTAGAGTTCAAAACACATTTACACCCTCAGCAGTTTTTTTACATCGTTTGTTAAGGTCAAGCATAATATAGTTTGCAAACCTCGTAGGCTATGCACAAAAAAGCTGTTTTAAATTGATCGAGCCATTGATGAGCGTCCCATAGGTTATCACAATAATTTCTGGCTATTGAGACTTGGATCAGCTTTTGTAGCCAAGCTTCTGCTCTGGTTTCATGATGGTGATGATTTGCATAAATTGCGAAATCGTTTCCTTTTCGTGAACAATGATTTTTTAGTCCCCAACTTAGTAAAAGGATAAAAAGATAGAGCTCTCAGCGTTGATCAATCTCTGAGGGAAACGCCATGCATTCGACTTCATTACGCATCGTTTGGAGGTGACCGAATGCATATTTGGCCTTTACAATGACTCGCGGTGGCCTACCAATGTGTCGAACCAGTGCTGTTATCATCCCAGATAAGTCTGATACCAATTTGCCGACCCTAGAGGGATAGAAGGCTTGGTGAGTCTGGTGCACAGGGATCGATCCGATGTGTATTGGGAGCGCTTCCAACCACAGCGCTATACGCGCCACTCGCAACTTCGTATATGACCTAATTCTTTGCCATCGGGACATCTTTTTTTTTCTTTTTTTTGCAATGATTCGAAGTGAAATCAAGTCATCTAAGGTGGTCTATGCTATATCTCGTAATATTTGTCCCTTCTTGTGTTCCCTATAAATAGCACAACGAAAGCGTTTTAAATTTGGTTTTTTCTAGGTGAGAAGACGACCACATGTAGAAATCGAATACGAGGATGAATCAGAATTACGGTCAAAAGTAAAAGTATAATTTGTCATTGTTTAGAAGAGGTTTATGCAGACTTTTCTACTCACTTGTTCTGGCATTAAGTACCTTGTTATATTCGAATCTTTCTTCTTCCGTACTTGTTATTGTTTGGTATCCAGATCATATAGTTTGTTAATTGGCCTTCCTATTTGGCTAGGTTTGTTGCTATGTCATTGTTATTACTGAAAGAAAAGTTTTGTAAATCTCTTGTATGACTTGAAAATATGGTTTTAACTGTCTCGTATCTTAAACTTTTGTGTATTCTACAAAGGTTACGTTAGATTGCTAAAGATCCCTTGTTGGTGGATGTTGGAGCTAGAATTGGTCGGCGTCTTACATTGTTAGGAGTTTAAATGGATTGTTCCTCATTAGTTTTCCGGTCAGAACTATTCTATTCGTGGACGTTTGGCGTCACATTTGAGATCGAGAGCAATTCTACTGTTGTTTACGCTGTCTTGCATTCGGTTGACCCATGAGGGGTGGTTGAATTGTTACTAGTTCCCTCATATGTTGGTGATTGGGGGTAGTTGAATTTTCGAAAGTGCTCAAAAGAGAATTCATTAATTTCATTGTGCTGTTGGTGAAGTGGTGGACAAGTCATCGAACTAGACGTAATATATGACGGTAACCTTCCAGTACTCTTGCGAAATATCATGGAGTTTAGGATAACTTCGTCTTTGAGGATAAGTATACACTTTGTCCAGTATCGAACGGTGTGTAGGTGACATGCGAACGCGTACTATAACGAGCATTGTTATTGCAAATCTATTTGAATTCATTCTTTATTACTGAAAGTTCACCGTGTTTCTTCCAGCCGTTTTTTCCTCCAGTGTTGATATTGGGATATGAATTAGTGGTACTTTAGAATAGTAAAGTCGGATTTGTTTTTCTGAAATGTCCCCTCCCGTTGCTGGGGACTAGGGTTTCGAATGGCTCGTTTTTACTAGGGTAGGCGAAACCATGGTGAAGTGGATTCGCCTCAGCTGTTGCACTTATAGAGTTCACGATTGTTTTGTTTGATCCATGTTAGTGCATTAGGAAGAAATAACTAATTTTTGCACATCTAGTTGAGTCCAATGGCTGTTTTAAACAAATGATCTTAATTATCAAACTGACGATCGTTTAACGTCTTTAGTGAAATAATCAACTTGTTCATATTTGTTGAGTGTACTCGAGGTTGATGAGTAGGTTTTATTGGGTTAACGTTGTGGCGTCCTCGTCTTCATCAGAGCCGATGATCCGAGTCAAATGGTCTTAGTTTAGACTGGTTATGTCTTTACTGGATCCATCGACAGGGTTTACTTGTGTGACCTGCCAGCTTATTTTTGAGACACCTGAATTACAACGCGATCACTATAAGACGGATTGGCATAGGTATAATCTGAAACGGCAGGTATGTTTAAGCAGGTTGTACTCATATCTATGTTAGTTTCTGGTTTTGATTTTTACATAGAAGATTGTATAAAAGATTTTTATTTGCTACTGTGGTTTTACGAACTTTTTCTTCTCGAATTTTGTCTCGGTTGCTGTGCCAACAAGGAAAGAACTAGACGAATCGTCTTTGTTATTTGCCTAAGATGATTGTCTAAACCACAACTTTGCAGACGCAGAACTCATTTTGGCCTTTTTTATGGTGATACATTTCAAAGTAACGATCTCGTTGAAATTGAAGAGCTGTGGTAGAACGCACAACTAACTTTATTTTATCCGTATTGGTATACGGGGCAGACTTTTGGCTAGGCTAATCTCGGGACTCCACGGAACCACAATAGCTAAGCCTGCAAAACTCCAAAAAAAAAGTGGAAACTATGCTGTGGCTTGTAAAAGCAGTGAATACGGGTCGTCCAAGTATCCGAGTGGTGGTATATAATGTGCTTTATACGACTCGATCTTTCCTATAGTGTACTGCATACAGGACTCAAGTGTAGATGTCCACGTAGCCATTACGTACTTCCGCCCTCAGTTGCGCAACTTTCGCTCTTTTAGCACGTAGTTTACTTATCGCTTTCTTACAAGTCCATTGTATGAGTTTTATGTATGTTTTGCTTGAAAATAATAAGAGGGGGTCATGGCTATAAATATAGTACCTTTAATTTTTGAACTGTAGTCTTGTTGTGATGCGTGTGGCGCAGTGGTCGGAGGCGCACTATTGTACACATAGGATCGATCCCCAGGCTCACCAAGCCTTTAATGCCCACTGCGATCGGCAAATTGGTACCAGTTTTGGCTGAAACGATAGAATCACTGGCACGATACATCGGTAAGCCACTGCGACTCGTCGTAAAGGCCAGATATGCATTCAGTCACCTCCAAACGATGCTTAATAAAGTCGAATTCATGGCGCATCCCTCAGGGATTGATCACTGCAGAGAGCTCTATCCTCTTTTTAACTTATTGACATAGTGCAGGATTTAGAGGTGCTCTACAGCACAGACATCTTTGGTGCGATCCAGCGCATCACGCTTACCAAGGCTTCAATTCCCCAAATGTTGATAAATTTGACCGCCATTTTCTGGGGAATAGCAGGGCTTACTTGATACATCGATCATCGCAAGTAATTGTGAAGGTCAGATTTGTTTGAAGTATAACGGTGTGTGATGACGTTGATTCCATGGCGCACCAATCTGGGATTGATCAATGCCGAACGCTTTGATATTAATCTCTTAACCGTTTTCCTTTTTACACTTCAGTGTTATTGATCTTCTAGGTCAGTGATTTACCTCCTGTTACCGATGAACAATTTCGCGACAAAGTTCTGAGCTACCGAGCCGAAAAAGAGGTATGCGCTTCGTCGTGTTGCAGTGTTGTCTGTGTCTATGTGTTCTCTTTAACATTCCGTCCACAATTTTTTCTTTGAAGGCGTTGGAAAAAGAGCAAGATGAACTGGCCTCGTTATATTGCTTTACATGTAGGAAGAAGATGAAGTCACGGAACGCTTTGAATGACCATCTTGCTAGTAAGAAACACAAGGAAATGGAAACAAAAGGGCCGAAAGGTCCACGTCAACCTAGAAAGGTTGACTATTTTTTTGTACACTCTAATATATAAGTAAATATATATAATATAATAAATAAATATAATTGGGATTATAGGTAGCTTTAACTCGATCCCCGAAGGATTTTCTTATATTCTTTGATATTTAAAATTCCAGAAAAACTCAGAACACTTAGTGCAGTCACATGGGCGAAATGCAGACATCAAAATTCAAAGCATTGAGACCAGTGATCCTGATGATTATGACGATGATGATGATGATGATGATGATGATGACAGCAGCTCTTGTTGGGTTACAGTTGATGGGTCTGACGGCGAGGATGACATCGATTTTAATGAGAGCCAGGTCTTTCTTAGTTCTTGATTAAGTGCTTGACAGCTGTGTTCAAGGTGATGGTTGAATGACCACCCGCATCATGACTATTGAAAGTGGCTTCTTCATTTTTTTCTTCTTGTTATCGTTGTATTACAATTGGACTGCTTCATGATAGCGAAAGCTTTTCTTAACATTTAATACCACAGGCGATCCCTATCACATCATGTTTGTTCTGTCCGCAAGCAAAGTCAAACAAAGAACAAATTGCTGAACATATGAAATTCCATCACGGATTCTCTTTACCAGACAGGAAACATCTGGTTGATGAAGATGGAATGCTTAACTATCTAGGTGTTTTTTCAACGTTTAATTTTATTTCTGTCGCCTTACGTCCATATATCTGCAAGGTTATGAATCTATGTGTTTAATTCATTATAGGTTTGAAGGTTGGTGCCGGACACTGTTGCATTTATTGTCCTGACATTCGAAGTCGCTTCGCTACTACGGCTGCTTGTCAAGCCCACATGCGTGACAAGCAGCACTGCAAGATTAATCGTGAACCGGAAGGCATGCTAGAGTTTGCAGAGTATTATGATTATAGGTAGCAATTTCTTTAGCTTAGAAAGCTAGGTGGTTTCTTTTCTCTTAGAACTTTTTCTTAATGCAGCAGGTCGTCTGGTGAGACTTTGCAGCTTAAATTGGAATTGGTATTGGGGTTGTTTTACTGTTTTTAATCTCTCTACACTCACTCTTAAAATTAGTTTTACTTTTGGTGAAGGCCTGGGCATCTCTGATTGCCGTATTAGCCATTTTTATAGCGATCTGTCAATTGCAAACTGAAGATTCTTGTTTGTATCATACATAGCTGGGCGGTAGTGGAGCAATGGTTGGAGGTACCACTGCGACACTCACGTGGAATCGATCCCCCTACCCATGGCTCACCAAGCCCTCCATCCCTCCTTGGGTCTGCAAGTCGGTACCAGACTTGCATGGCGGGATAGCAGCACTGGCTTGGTACATCGGTAGGCCACCGTGAGTCATTGTAAAGGCCAGATATGCATTGAATCACCTCGAGCGATACTTAATGAGGTGGAATGCATGGCACATCCCTCAGAGATTGATCAACGCCGAGAGCTTTATCCTTTTTCCTTTATCATACATAGCTGTAGTTTTGTTTTCTTCTCGCAGTTAATTTTTTTTCTAGTCCTTTATGCAATAGTGAAGATGAAAGCGGTGTATCAGACAGTTTTTTTGATGATGGTTGGAGCTTGACTCTTCCCTCCGGTAAGGTTCTTGTTTCTGGTTTCTTTGCTTGTTCTATTAATTGAGCAATAGTAAAGTAAAGGGTGTAGCTCGAGAGGATGAAGTATTATTTGGTCACAATTTTTGACTTCTACTTACTGCCTATTGTTTTTTTTTTCATAGCAAGGTACTATGTGAAATACAACCATAAGGATGCTGAGATATGAGGAAACTTACTGACCTCTGGAAAGAGTAATCGCGTGTTCGACGCACACCTGAGGTGTTGAGTTTTGCTTAAATCTCAGAGTTATTGTGGTTGTATTATGGATTTTTGAATTTAGCAAGTATCACTCTATTGTCGGCATGTAATTTAGTCCCGTTTTTGGAAATAATTATGCTAATCCAAAATGGTGTTGAACGTATTCAGGAGCGAAGATTGGTCATCGCTTGTTAATGATATATTATCGTCAGTATCTTCGTCCAAAAGATAGTAACAAACCTGATATGGGAAGGACTGCTTTAGAAAAAGCACGAGGTCTTTATCCTGCTTTGGCTTGGACCGGTACAACAGGTACCAAGTTATATTGATTTATTTCGATTTGCTGTTATTTCCTTTCATTGTTTATGTTTTCAAAGTTTAACGTTTTGACTACATGATGTCAGTATCGAGTGTTTTAGATGGAGCAATAACACTTCTTTGCTTGTTCAGAACTCTTTTTAAAGACTGACTTTCGTTACACCTGGTTTTTGATAATCAACTTGCTCTCTTTCATTGATAAGCTAACGAGAGGTCGTTGCAAAAATTTATTCGGCTGTAAAATCTGGCGGAATAAATTTTTCTGACAACCGACTTTCTGTTAACCTCGACACTGACCAAATAGTTCTCTGTATTCCTTCTTCCACGGGCGCGTGTGGCGCCGTGGTCAGGGGCGCCCTGCACTACACACTAATCGATTCCCGCGTTCATGGCTCACCAAGCCTTGCATCCATCCAGGGTCGGTAAATTGGTGCTAGACTTGTCTGGGATGATAGCAGCACTGGCTCGATACATCGGTAGGTCACGGCGAGTCATTGTAAACGCCAGATATGCATCCAGTTACCTACAAGCGATGCTTAATGATGTCGAATGCATGGCGTATCCCTCAGGGATTGATTAACACCGAGAGTTCTATCCTTTGTCCTTTTATTCTTTCTTCCATTGAAGCTGACATTTCGGCAGTATCGCTTTCTTTAGAGCACTTTTTTACGTGACTTCCACTGAGGAAGAGCAGCTGATTAGAGTCACATATAGTCTTCTTCAGTGGAAGTCGCGTAAAAAACGGCTCTGAAGAAGGCGTTGCTGCGGAAACATCAGCTTTATCGGAGTAAAGCATGGAGTAACACTTTTCGTTTGCTCAAGAAGAATATCATGAACTATTCTCTGACATCCTCTTATTGACTTATCAAGGAATGTTTTAAAAAAATGGAAACTTTATTAAGTATTCAACGTCTTGATCTTTACTAAGTTTGCAGTTTTTCTAAGAAAAAGATGCTGTGATTTTGAAAGAGATGATACCATTATAAACTGTCATCTGCGTTAGTCACTAGTCAAGAACCATCTTATTTTAGGCGCCATCGCTAAACAAGCAGCACGTGACATCAAGTTCGTGGAGCACTATCGTCGACGTTTTGATTTGAGAGTTGGTTTGAAATCAAATAAGCTGTTCAAATCACAGGGTCGCAATGGTGATAATTAACCGATTACACCACTTAGAAAATGCTTTTAGTTTCCACTTTTTTTTTTACTTCTTCTTTCCTTCCCTTCTTACATATCAATGTTTGTATAGTCTTAGTCTTATATTAGCATTGAGGAAAAACTATATGACGCAGGGATTGAATGCCACACTAACGATTTTTGTCAGAGATTTGTTTATGCTGAGAGTGATACGTTAAAAATCGTTCATAGTGTTACCTTGGCATCTTTCGTGCCGTACATTGGTTATCCATTTTGCCTGTGCCTAAAACATTTTCTTGTTGTTCACTGTTTTGGAACGTGTAGGTTGGCTGAGTCATTGAATTCTGTTACCATAGCTATAAGATGAAATATGGCAGAAATATTCGTTTTATTTGTTCATGTCGGTATGCAGTCATTTTCGAATCGACAGTTGTGCTTAGTATAAAAAGACAGTGGAAATCTGTCAATGTACAAGAATCGATCAACGGAATACACCGGGAAGCAGAAACTTTGTCCGCAAACAATCAATACATATACATTTGGGTTTAGTAACGAATATCACGATGAATGCATTAGAGCTTCGTGATACCCGCGTTACAACTCCTAATACAGCTTATTCACCTAATTTAGTACTCGTAATGATCCGTTTCGTTAATAGAGTTGTTCACAAGAGGAAATATGCACGATTCCAATGCACACATGTAAAAGTATGTAGCGAGAGACATCATATTGGAGATACTTGAAGTGTTGGTGGTCAAAGAATGGAAATAAAAGTATACAAATAGCTGAACACGTAGTTAGAGGCGATAAATAAGTGGGTTTAGCTGGACGGAAGGGTGGAAGGGGGTTGCTGAATTGGTCATATGAGAAAGCAGGTGGCGCCAGTTAGTGGAGAAAGCGATGAAGTTTCACCAGAAACTCTGATAGGAAACATCTTCAAATGTGCCATTCGAGTGAGAGACTGGGAAATCTAGCGAGTTATCACCTTGGAGGATGGATCTAATTTGCTTAGCACCAGTATGCTTCAAATTCTAAAGTTTGAAGTTATCACTGTTAGTGATAGGAGATTCCCACTTCTCTAGAGATGTGAATTTTTCGTCCACAGAATCGATTCTTTCGAAAAGGTTCTTTTATCAGGATCGAAACTGTTCTTCTTCGCTCACAATTAATTAGTGAAACTCGTTCAGTTAAGTGATTTCCTTCGAGAATCTAGATGTTCCATTTTGTTGGAATGAAAAGTGACATAGAAATGTTTCCTTCAACTCGTTGAAACTCCTCGCAGATAAAAATTATCGATAAGGAAAGCTATTCAGCTTGAAATAAAAAGCAACAACGATATTTTAGCTCGTTATAAAGCTCCATAATTAAATTATTAAAATGACGATTAGCAGCTGTATGTCATCGAGATGCGGTAACAGAGCGGACAACCAGCGCGTTGAGATCATCATCGTGGGCGGAGTTGATGAGAGAGAATGTCTCCAACGACTTGCGGATAATCAATAGTACATTAAAATTAATAGCCAAAATCAATGGCAATGTTTGGATTTTGGCATTAATGAAAGATTAATAAGGTCCAGACCAAAGAAGACCTGCTCCAGATAATCTGAAATTAATGTTCGGAACGTGTAAAGTCGAATCCGATTCATATTTCAAAGGAATCAGATAATCTATAAAGAAGTGAATAGCTTAAGTGTTCTAAATATTGGACTGTATATATTTTGTCTTTGATATTCCTAGAAAACAAATACGCGTAGAATACGAAGTTCATAATCACGTCGAGATGTGTTCAGTTCTTCGACGCTCCATATTTCTCCAGGACCTTGTAGTTTCGTTCGAATTGTACTATAGCTCTCTAAGATTGCGAAACTAACCGAACCAGAGATCATTCTTTTTCTTATGATGCTCCACAGATCCCGATTTGGCTCGATGTTACCACATGCTATGGACACTCGACTCGAATCATTGCACCTTTAAACTCTCTGGAGACTCCAGAATATTATCCACAATTAACAGCTTTTCGTAAAAGCTTCGCGCAAGCCCATGAAAGAGACAAAATTCCGAAATGGTCTTATTGCACCAGAAAGGATTCTCGGTGAAGATCCAGTTTTTGATTGATACTTCTTTAAAGATTTATTTACTCCGTTCTTAGATATTGTGCGAATTCCAGCTCTTTTTCCATTTATTTACTTCTCTTGAAGCCAAAATCCACGAAGGTGTTCGGATTGCGTATGGGTTCTGCTGTTACTTGAGAATTGTGGCCTTCTTCATTTTCCATGGAGTCCTGGGATAGAGCGTTCTAGGCTATCCAAAGAAAATGAGAACTGTCACGGACCACTGTAGATGAAATGAAGCATTTTCGAGGCGACTCTGTACTAATTTGTTGACCGATGACGGATAGCTGGAGGAGTGTTTCTTTCAGGTCTGGCGTGAAGTTGAATTAGACACCATACGTGTACTGTACGGCATCTCTAGCCACTTCGTTTTCGGCACCTCTTAAATAATGAGCTAAATCTTAAACCTTTCCAAAAACCATATAGAGACCTTCCGCAAAAGTTCATTTTGCGAGTTGAAATCTGACTGCGACAACGAGCACCACACACAATGTCACAGATATTTTGAAGAATTCGGGAACTTTATCAAGACTGAGCTGTTCTCATCCTTAGCGCACCGAGTCAAGATATGGACTGATAGAATATAATAGAAAAATCGGCTGCATGTGTTGATGAGTTGGAAAAACCGAATTACGGTTATAACACTATTCTAAGGAAAGAAATTCCTATCCAAAAGACGGGAAAACTATTTCATCAGTGAAAGTTGTGCTAGACCTCGAGACAGAAAATGAACCATTCAAAAAAAGTAATAGTCGACGTGAAAAATTATGCAAACCATTCACAGGTTACAAAATGCTAAAAGAAGTCATCCGAAAACTATTGAGAACCAGTCCGAAGTTTGATGCTCAAATTCCCGAAAGATGTCATGCTTCTGGTAGCCAAACGAGAACACGTTTGGAGTTATATAGAAATAGTCGGACAGCATAAGAACACTTTGGACAAAAAGACAATTTAGCTTCTTAAAGAAGCGATGGAGAAATAAAAGACTCACGAAGGAAAACCAACAGAGTGGACTGATAGGGTGGCAGGTCCTCTGAAGAAGAACTAATGCTTCATAAGGGCTCCACATATTTAAAACCATAGTAGACCGTAGAAACGAACGAAGATGACTATCTGCTATGTTCGTCCACTGCGATAGTTTAAAACAATGTCACTACCACAAGTGTATTGAAAGTTGAACTTCTTACGCTTCAATTGTTGTTCTAATGAAAAATCTACAATACATAATTGTGAATTAAATTTATTATATGGACTTTTGCTTCTGTCAAATTATCCTTAAGAGTGAAAAGAGTAATCCTTAAGAAACTCACTTGGGTCTGCGTTTTTGACTGAGTTCCTGCTCACGCAAACGCTCCAACTCCTGCTGTCGTTGTTGTCGTCGTCGCTGTTCGCGTTCCAGTCGTTGTTGTCGTCGTCGTTTACGTTTACGAATTCTACGCAGGTGAGTTGATGTTGTTGGACCTCGATTTTCTAGTTGACCCTGGATTTGCTCGATCCGTGTTTGCATCTTCGCCAAATTTTGACGTTGTATGAACGACTGATCTTTTGGCGGTTGGTGTTTCAACGATGGAGCCAGCAGGCGACCTTGAAGTAGCAAAACTTCAGATTACGCATATTTTATAATTTTGTTTATTCGTATACTACTTCTTTATCTGCAGTCCTTGTCCTGTTCCTCACTAGATTACCCTCTTACCTAACTTGAAACGACATCCATAAGCGTAACAGCAGTTACTCAACTGACTACGTGACTAATTGCCAGGCCGAGTGGCGCATTTGGCTAAAGCACATTGAGGAAACGGCCTAACAGAAGGTGATCGTCGTCGGTGAAACGCAAGATAGATAGAAATAAGTTCTCAGGCAACTTGCCGTATGCTATGACTTATGCTAAAGAATATATCAGGCGCAATTAGTTAATACATCCGGAATTTGTGTAATTCCAATCGTCGATAAATTTGCTTCCACTAAACATTTTGGAGAGGTTTCAGTTTCACTGGAGTTCGAGTTTTTTAGTTAATTTAACTACACAAAAATTAGAAATTGGGAAAGTTTTAAAGTTAATTTCAAGGAGTAATTTAGGGTTGGATCTAAAATTTCTTCTCTTCGCACTCCAACAGGTTCATGTGCGCATATAGCTTAATGACCAGAAGTGCTCGTGGATGCATAAGGTCATGCGTTTGATTTCGACGGATAAGCTTAGCGAACTTTTCATTGCACTTCCGTGATTGGTAAAATTTTAAAAGTCTTTTTGAAGGACAAGAAATACTGCTTTGATACATAAATATAGTCATCCATCTCCGAGACGCAACGAATGTGGTTGAATGCACTGCGCATTCCTAAGCGAATTATTAACGTTAAAAGATTTTGCAAGAATTTATTCGTTAATGTGACTTCACGTTTACTATCCTTACCTAAGGACACGTGTGACGCACTGGTCGGAGGCGCCCTACAACACACACGTGGAATCGATCACACCCATGGCCCACCAAGCCTTCCAACCCTCCGGGTTCGGCAAATTGGTACCAGACTTCTCTGGTATGATAGAGCAGCACTGGATCGATATATCAGTAGGCCACCGCGAGTCATTGTAAAGGCCAGATATGCATTCGATCACCTCCAACGACATTTAATGCAATCGAATGCATGGCGCATCCCTCACGAACAGATCAATGCCGAGACCTTTACGGTTTTATCCTTTATCCTTTATCCTTTATCCTTTATCCTCACCTAAGTCATATTGTCCTAAACTTCCTGGAGGTGGTGTGTCATAGTGTATAACGAGGAAATGACTGGCTTTCCTCCGTCGTCGTGCGTTCTTTCCGCGACGACTTCGACCAGTTCGACGCTTTAACAATGAAACGATTACTGCGAAGAAAATACATGAAAAAGAATACGAAGAGATTTTCGACCGTGAATATGAACGGATCACTTACCAACGCGACGTACCATGGTCGCTTTCGTGTGCCATGAGCACATGACGAATACAAATTGTAGTAGTTCTCCATCATTTCTTCGAGAAATACACATTCAGAAGTGTAGTTCTGCGGGGCCTGAAAAATAATTGTTGAGTGGTGTGATAGTATACTAAATATTTATTGAGGTCAGCGAAGGATTAGCTAATTTTTAAAAATACGTAGAGGTTAAGCACTTGATACTTGATACTTAAACGGCCAGTCCTCACTAGTTGTGCGGGCCCCAGCATAAACACCATTTTTCAGAGATTTGCTAGTTAATCCATTGTGGTTGCCTGGAATCCCAAGGACACCCTAGCCAAAGTCTGCTCCCGGTCGTCACCACGACAAGCAGTCGCGCTACTTGTGGATCAGAGGGAGATTTGCCACCATGAGACTTTAATCTTAGCTAGGCTTTCTGATGAAAACGTCGGTCTCCTTCTCAGTTTGGGAGACCTTGCCGAGAGGACGAATCCCCCGCTGTACATCGCAGTCCGATACCCAGGGACACCTCCCATCCACGATGAGGCGGTGAACCGTTGGGAGGAAAGGTTAAGCACAAGGCATTAAAATGGTTTTGGCGACCGTGTGAAACAACTGCTTCTACTTATTAAATTAAAACCACAACTTAATATTTCAATGATTGCAAGAAAACATAGTAAACCCTTTCAAGTAAAGAAAAAACTAGTTTCTTTCAATCATCTCGTATTTTTGACTTTTCGAATCTTTCGAGGAACTTTCGAATTGAACAATAAAGCAGTCAGAACGACAAGATATTAACGAGCATTTGTCAAGCTTTCCAGTTGGTCAATAATGCTTGATTGATGGAAGGTCCAAATTAGAAGCAACGAAATTCTAAATGCTATGTTGGCTAAGACTACGGTAGTGCAAGGAATGCGATAGAGGTGCTGTAATTTGAAGAACCTTCCTTGATTACAGTACTCGCTAATGACCCTAGTGAGGAGAATAAGCCCTGTTACCGATTTAAGCCATTGGTTCGGCTCTTTACACGTTACCTGTCTGAATGCAAGGCTCCTACTCAATGGAAGGCCGACAAGACCGTGTTATTGTTCAAGAAGGATGACCTACACGATAACGGCAACTATCGCCCAATCTGCTTGCTGTATTTCGTCTACAAACTTTTCACTAGAGTCATCCTAGACAGGATTGGCAGAACACTGGACGAAGAGCAGCCGTGTGAGCAAACAGGGTTTCGGGAAGGTTTTAGTACGTTAGACCACACCCACACAATAACAAGACCCACGGAAGAATCGCGAAAGTACTAAAGTCCGCTCTGCCTCATTTTTATCGTTTAAAGGCTTTTACCCTTGATAGTCATGGAGTCCATGCTCAGTATGTAAAAAATCTTCGCGAGCTGTACAAAAGTTTCACGACCAGAATGTCATCATTCTACAACCGTATAAACATCGACGACAAAAGAGGTGTTAGGCAAGGCGATGTCATCTCGCCAAAATTATTTAAGGACATCTTGGAGAATGTCATGCGAACATTGGAATGGGACACTATGGGAGTGAAAATCGATGGTCGGCAGTTACATCATCTTCGCTTTGCTGATGACATCGTCCCTATAACACAAAACATTAACAAAGAGGAACGAATGCTTGCCGACTTTGATAAAGCCTGTGGAAGGATTGGTCTTCGACTAAATCTCACGAAAACGATGTTCATGAGAAACGGATTGGTTTCGTATGCCCCATTCACGCTCAACGGTACGAATATCTCCGAATCCTCCAGTTATGTTCATCTAGGTAGGAAAATCAACATGATGAACGGCTTAGCTCCAGAGTTGAGCAGAAGGAAACAAGCAGCTTGGAGAGCTTTCAAGAGCATCGAGGATGTAGTGAAGAGGACAAAGAACACCCGACTCCGTGCCCACCTTTTCGACTCAACCGTACTTCCTGTGTTAACGTATGTGTCAGAAACCTGGCCGCTGCGTAAGCAGGATGACGGATCACCCTGCGTTATTTAACGCGCAGTCAAGGGCGATGCTAGGAGTATCCCGTGCCACGCAAGTAAGAGAAGGGATCCGAAGCTCCGACTTGTGTCAACGATCAAAAATCAAAGATGCCGTTCTGTATACCAAGCAGTCGAAGATAAAGTAGGCGGGACACGTAATGCTATAGGAAGATCTACTGATTCCCGCTCGAGTCACTCGACGACCAACAGGACTACACGTGATACAGGTGACCGATTTAAGCACTGTTTATGAAAGCTTTCAACATGAGTACAAACCCGCTAACAACTTACAACTTCATATAAAAGACAAATAAATAAAAAAGAATGATGATGATGTAAATACTTATAATCTCACCGCTGCATATAATTTCCCGTCCCGATCCATACATAAGTATCGTTGTGAAACTTCCCCTCGTATGCTCACCAGACCGATAGCGACAGAGAGAAATTCCAGCACACCTGAAATGAAGCTCACTTCTGTGAACCACGCAATCTGTGGAAAATTAATCGCTAAAATTGCGATTGTAGCGGAAAGATTGAAACTTTATGAGAAAGCGATCTGTAGTCACGAAAGGAAAACATTCGCAGGTAATTCTTCAATTATGCAAGCATTCGTCGCCCTTTTAAATTAAAAAAATCACTCAATTTGGAAATGTGGTGAACGACGCTTAATTCATTGAAATGGCACCACTAATCCAAATCGAAGAGGATAAACTCCTCTATTAAGTCGTCTAGCTGGTAGCGAACCTGTGTTAGAAAATGTTGCTCCTGCTAGGCCGCAAGCTGGTAGCACATTCAACATTGGCCATCGGTAACTTATGGTGGACATGCGGCGACTGTAACACATTTAGCTTCCTATTGATGCTCTGTTCATCTAGGGTCCACGCTCGAAATTTTCACAGCTTTCCCATTGAATGAAGGCGGTAGGTGATTCAGATAAAATCATAAGAATGTTGAAATATCAGCAAAACTCGAAACCTTGGATGGGCCTCGAACCCATGATTACCCTATGCGGCGGCTCACATACTATCCACAATGCCACACAAGACCCCTGCTTTGCCTTTCTCTCAGCCATGTTTTTACTCTAATAGTGTTATCAGCAATCACTCGGGCACAGGATTCATTTAGGGAGCACAAATCGGCTTTGAGCCTAGTTAAGCTCGAGCTGCGGTCGACACCACAATGTTTTAACTTTTGCTTAGTGCCTAATTTTTCATATTCTATTCTGCTTATTTGTCTTAAAAATAGGCGGCAAATAAGAGTTAGAATATTTCAATACAATTCACATCCTTCTTCCCCAGAAGTTCGTGGCTCATCAGACCAAGATCTTTATGGATTCGATTTCTGTTTGAAGCAGAGTATCATTCTCAAGCTTTAGAAATGCGAACAGAATTTCTTCGTCAGAGTGATCGAATATGACATCTTTCTATTAATGTTTGATCTTGAATGAACTCAAAAAGGAGCAGATGTCAGAAATAGTCTTTGTTTGATCTGACATTTTGATTTTCCTAATAGTTTAACTTAGAACTTTCAACCAGAACACACGTCAGTTTTATTTCCTTACGATAGAAGACATCCGGCGAACCCACTAGCTACGTGTGATACCCTAGTGGCCAAAATGCTGTGACGATAAATCAGTTGTTTGTTTTCCACAAACCGAGATCCCACCTCTGGAACAGGTGGTTGCTAACGTGTTAAATAAATTAAGGTTTGCTATTTTTGCGGCACGAAAGCTTTTTTGCTTCAATATTTCATTGTGCGAAGAGCATCATTAAAACGCAATTGTTCAGAGCAATATGGTAGACAACCTTGCGGGATAAAGCGTACTGCGTTGATTAACACTCGCGCTTCGAGTGAAACTTACGGGTGTCAGTAAAAACCACTATGAGTCTCATACTCTTTAGAGTGGTTTATTTCAGCAGACAGAACTATTTGTCACCAATTTATAGCTTGTAGAATACAGATGTTCATTCTGGACATTGGTCGATAAAACTCTGTTCTGCACTCAGAAATATACAGAATATCATGTTTCGAACGAGTTCATTAACAGGAAATTTCTGTGGTAATCGACTGCCGCTTCAATTCGAATCGTTAAAGTGGATGATAATTATTGAAGAGAGTGCGCGGGTATAGAAAATACTGAAAAGGAGACCCATAAGTTGTAAAACCCTTCCACATGCTGACAATAACGTGTTTGTATGAGTAACCGCAGTAGCATATAATAAACATCACCATAAATAACATCGCAAGATTGCTGAGATATTTGCAAACTCCGGACCGCAGCTGTCTGCGGTGGGGAACGAACGCGCTATTGTCCTTTCCGGGAAGCAACGCGTTCACCACCACACCATGCGGGTCCTTCGTTTCCCCTGTCTCTCAGCTAGTTTTGCAAATATCTCAGCAATCTTTTGGTTGTGTTTGGCTTAATACCCTGCCATAAAATAATAGAAGGCAAAAAATAAAAAGTAAACATTATAGATAACATCTTTTGCACAATCTATTCATGTTTACAATCCACGAAGTCCTGAAATTAACGAAAAAATATTGTTTGTTTTCAAAAAACCAGCGAATCCACAAAGGCTAAAAATTGGGAGTCGACCAGTCCGCAACAAACCCAAGATTAAACATAGTCATGAGGGGGTCTATCACTGAGGAACCACCAGTGCTTTCGACTTTAGTAAGCAATGCAGAGGTTGCTAAATGCATATTTACAATGATAAATTTTTCATTTACTACCTATTACAATTTTTACGGCAGGGTATTATGTGTGTTACAACTGCAACGATGTTGAGATAATTGCAAAACTCCGGACCACAGGTGTCTGCTGTGGCTTTGTTCCACCTGCGCCGTTCACATGTGATTGCTGATGGCATTGATCGATAGAACTAGCTAACAGACAGAAGGAAGGAAGGACTGGCGTGGTGGTAAATGTGTGTTAGCCCCGGAAAGGGTAATAGCGCGTTCGTTCCATACCGCAGATACCTGCGGTCTGCAGTTTTGCAAATATCTCAGCATCTACTTATTTATATGATCTTATAAATCGATCTTCTTAAACTGATGCGTGGTTGGTACAGGTCTTCGTTGTCGTTGTCATTGTTGTTGATGTTGTTGGTCGATGGCTGACGTTTCGACGACTTCGTTTTCAGAGCCTGGACGTATTTTATATTAGAATATTTTTATTATTCGGCGAAAAAAAAGTTGAAACATCAATGACGATCAAACTTTTAAATAAAGTCATATTGAGCAGAAAGGCCACTCACCATGATGTTACGTGTGGGACTGGCACACGCGTTGTTTGCGTGTGGCCGCGAGCAAGACACACCCCTGGGTCAAAACATCATTTTGAAATAGGGCGTCAGGCCAAGCGTGATAGTGAGGCATTAGTCTTTCCGGTTCATCTTTGCATTTTTGAAATTTATCCAAAACGCCTCAAGAGTTTTGCGCGTTGATGATTTTGATTCCTGCTCTAGGATCCGCACATTCACTTCAAAATCATCGCCATTGTGCTTTTGTGTCCTACGTGCACCTAGAGGAATGCTTCGACGAATTTTAACTTTCCCATCCAGATATTCTTTTGCGGACAAAAAGCGGTATCCAAATGTATTCTTCACCGCATGCTTTACATGAGATCAAGTATATTATACCTGAACTCATGCAATCCCAGTCTCCCGTTGGAACAGATCATACAGTTTTCTGAGCTGCACAAGCGACCATAGAGATGGTTACGAACCAAATGACGGCGTAGGGTATTGGGTGGCAGGTCAATAATCGTTTCATTTTTCAAGACCACTTTTTCTTTTTCTTTTTTTAAAACACTTCTTAATGGCGTAACTTACTTCATTTGATATGAAGAGTAGCTTAAAAGAGACCTTACTTACATCCGAAACATTATTTTGGGGAACTACTTTACCGTTTTGCCTAACCCGAGTGGCTCTTGCTTCGTAGCCGTTGAAAATGGCTATTTTTCCTGCCAAATTTAGTGATTACTTCCTTTCCTACTCTTCTGCGCACGTTTTTAGCTGTTCGGTACATGTTCTTGATGAGAGCTCTTTCACGTATGAAGGATGAAAGGAGAGGTAATGAACTAGAATGTTTTTACTACTTGGCTTGTGAAAACACTACCAACAAGGAAAATTAAGCTCCAACCTCACAAGCCAACAAAAATGCGGTGTGCGCCTGGCTCGATAGCTCTTGAATTCAAAATCTCTGCGGCTTTCTATAGTACACAGACGAGTGCTTCATCGTCTGTTCCACACAAGAACAAATGGATGAATGCTTTGAATTGTTACTAGTTCACTACCTCACCTCTTATCCTTCACACATGAAAAAAGCACATACCAAAAACATGTACAGTACGGCTGAAAATGTGTGTACAGGAGAAAAGGAAAGGAAGGATTCGCGAAGCCTGGCACGAAAAATTGCCATTTCCAATGGCTGCGAAGTAGAAGCCACTCGGGTTAGAGGAAAACGTTGGGTAGTTTCCCAAAATAATATTTCAGACGAAAGTAGGATCCCCTTTAAGCTGCCCTTCACATCAAATGAAGTAAGTCACGCCATTAAAAAGTGCTTAAGAAAAAGTGGTCTTGAAAATTATGTAACGATTGTTGACATCCCACCCAATACCCTACGCCGCCAGTTAGTTCGATACCGTCTCTATGATCGTTTGTGCAGCTCAGAAAACTGTATGATCTGTCCTAACGGAAAAGATGGGGATTGCATGAGTTTAGGTATAATACTGAGGTGAATGTGCGGATCCTAGCGCAGGAATCAAAAACATCAACGCGCAAAACTCTTGAGGCGTTTTGGATAAATTTCAAAAATCCAAAGATGAACAGGAAAGACGAATGCCTCGCTATCACACGCGACCTGGCGCCCTATTTCAAAATGATGTTTGGCCCCGGGATGTGTCCTGCTAGCGACCCCAGGTGAACTACGCGTGGTCCAGTCCCAGACGTAACATCATGGTGAGTGGCGTTTCTGCTCAATATGGCGTTTATTTAAAAGTTTGATCTTCATTGATACTTTAACCATTTTTTCCACCCAATAGTAAAAATATTCTAATATAAAATACGTCTAGGCTCTGAGGAAGGCGAAGTCGCCGAAACGTCAGCCATCGACCAACAACATCAACAATAACGGCACCGACAACGAAGACCTGTACCAACCTCGCATCAGCTTAAGAAGATCAGTTTATAGGACCATATAAGTAATTATATCAATTATCTATGCCGAAGTTTATAGAAAGTCGGCCTTTCGAGTTATCTCAGCATCATTGTGGTTAAATGCATATTTAGCCCATAAATTCACTTTTAGAGGCCTACCGATGTATCAAGATTAAGATGTATCTTCGTTCTATCAGACGAGTCGGACACCGATTTACCCTTCCTAAAGATGAAAACTTATTTCGCAAACGGAGTGATATCAAACCATAGACCACGTTTGTATTTCGAAGAGCCACTAACTAATGTGCTCAACTCTTACCAAATGGTAGATGGTATTTAAGTATCGAACGGTTGTATCAGTCACTCATTCCAGGTGCACGTGTAAAGTCGCTCAACGTAATTAACGTTAAGAGGTTTGCAGACGCCATAAAGCATTTATCATTCTACGCGATCCACATAAATGCATGCAAACTCTCCTCCTTCATGTTTCACGGCTTTCCTGGCATTGACCGAGGCCTGGTAGAAAAAGTGATTTTCCGTGCAAATCTTTCACAGATTTATGTGAAATCGCAGAATTTATGTTTTTGTGGCCCAACGGGAAATTATAACGACAAAAATACTCAATACTGGTGTCGTAGCCAGCATTATCGGAGTCGGTTACGTTTGA